CGTTTTGTCCTACGGGCCTGTCTAATCTTTGGCTAAAAGGTGAATCGCAAGAGCGACCTCATTACTGAGCTAAAAGGGAGCCATACTCTTGGGGTTTTTCCAGTCTCTGTTAGGCCAGTAAGTCTGGTCTTTTTTTGAGTTAGAATTTTGTTCTCCATTTTCCTCCAGCTCTGTCTGGGACCCTCTATTGTGATCCCTGTCAGAGCAGTCAGTGGTGGTAGCTGGGCACCATCTAGTTGTACTGGACTCAGTCTGTGGAGGCCACCAGAACACAACTGTTGATGTGCTTTTCCAAATCTACTATTCCCTACCTTCTCCATCTCAGTAAGTGGGACCAGCCAGTGTTTTAGGCCCCAAACCCACATCTAATCCTTTAGTAAACCCTGCTGGATCTATCCCAAAATATATTTGAAATTGGACTGCTTCTCACCCTCTCAGCTGCTTCAGCTGTAGTTTAAAGCACACTGTTTTCAGGCCTGGGCTGCTGCAACAGCTTCCTAACTGGTCTCCCTGTGTTTCCCTTAGCTTCCCTACAGTCCTTCCTCCACACCATGCCACAGTGATCTTTCAAAAAGTATAAATCAGATATCAGCGCTCCCCTGCTTAAAATCCTTCAATGGCTCCCCATTGTGATCAGAGTAAAATGCGAATCTCTTGTCTGCCTATAAGACCCTTTATGATCTGGCCCCTACCTAGTCTACAGCCACTCTTTATTTACTACACTCGACCTTGTTAACCTTCTTTCTATTCTTTGGTTGCAACAAGCTCGTTCTTATCTCAGGTCCTTTGCACTTGTCCTCCCCACTCCCTGAAACACTCCTCCCTCAGACTTTGCTTGCCTTCTCAGCCGAAATCACTGCCTGGGAGAGGCCTACTCTGAACACCCTAGCTAGTAAAGAGGCAAATTCTACCCCGGGCACTCACTGTCCCACTTCCTTGTTTTATTTCGTCTTAGCAATGATAGCGATTTGAGTTTTCCTTATTTATTTACTTATTTTATGTTTCCCTTCATTAGAATATAATTTCTGTAAGGGCAGAGGCTTTTCCTATCTTATTCATTACTGAATTCCTAGTGCCTAGAATAGTGCTTGGCACCTCGTAGGTACTTAAGAAATATTAAATATTGTTAAGCGAATGAATGAATCTAATTGAATGGACACACTATCCATACTGTATGTACCCATACTTCTACTGTTTGTCATTTTGATTTAGCCACAGTTTTTATTTATTTTTTCTTTGGTTCTTTGAAAAGAATATAATTGACAATTCCTGTGGTATCCAGCCTCCAAGATGGCCACCCAATGATTCTTACTTCTTTTTTTCTTAATTGTTGTAATTAAATGAAGTTTACATTTCAAGTTAGTCTCCCATACAAATTTTTTTTTTTTT